GCAGGCGGGGAACGTTGGAGTCCTCTGTCACTGAAGGAAGCAAGCCTCCCTGTTCGCATCAGCTGCATGGCTGCCGGCCGCCATCTTGGCTGACAGTTAATTTGCATATCTCCCTGATTAGCCAATGGGAAGGGTAGCAGTCGTACGCTAATTACCATGTTTCTCTTTTATTAGTGTAGATATGCTTATCATTCTTATTTTGTTGCTTTAAAAATTTTATTCTAGCGTCCCTTGATCCATCAGTTTTCTAGTCACTACTTTTTGTTGCTGAGTCATTTATTACTGATTATATATTCTGCCTTTTTGTTGTAATTCTTATTTTTCAACATAATATTTAACTATAATTTGTTCTCACAGATTTTAAATTATTTGGTGTTTCTATTCCTCTCCAAACATAAAAATGATCTTAGCATGCTTTAATTATCCATTATTATGCTCTCCAATCTTATGATTGTTTGATTTTTTTAGAAAACAGCAATAATATTTAATGTTTTAAATGCAAATGTTAGATAAACTATCAAGTAAAAATATCTACACTAATAAAAGAGAAACATGGTAATTAGCGTACGACCGCTATCCTTTTCATTGGCTAATCAGTGAGTATATGCAAATTAACTGTCAGCCAAGATGGCGGCCAGCAGCCAGGCACTGAAGCGAGCAGGGAGGCTTGCTTGCTGCAGACTCCAACGTTCCCCGCCTCACTTGCCGGCCTCTCATCTGCAAGTCTAAGCAACTATATACTATGTTGCAAATAAGAAGGTAAACAAAACCCCAGAAAACAGCCGGACTGAAACCCAGCCGGACCGAAACATTGTATCCATCCCCCCCCCCCTGCCCCGAGTGCACAAATTGTTGTGCACCAGGCCTCTAGTAAATTTATAAAAGAGGAAACCAAAAAGGCCTTGACCTTTCTGATGTAAACCACTAACCACTGCTGACCCCAGGGTAGCCTGAGGCTACAGTTACAGGCCTCTCCCCCATTGCTCCCAGGATGTAGTGCCTGTCTTCAGGGACTTGCTCAGCCTCTGGCAGTAGGCTCCCTGTTGCAGAAGCTGAGTGGTAGAAATGAGAGGCAAGGAGGGCCATGGTGAGGTTGTGAGGGCAGGGAATCAGAAGCAGTGTGGCAGGCCTCGCCCTCCTGGAGTCTACATTCCGGGCAGCATATGCAGAAAGGGCCTGACCTGGTTGGCGGTAGTCAGGGTGGTCCCCTGGAGACAGAGGGTGAATGAGCCTGAGTAGGGGAGGTGGTAACTTGTATATACCCAGGCATAGCAGGGGAAGGGCAGTCAAGGTAAGTGGCCCACAAAGGGGTTTTGGGGTGAGAGGCAAGACCAGCAGGGTCAAATCCACCTGAGGTAGCTAGGTATGTGTGGGGATGGTTGCAGGCCAGGCGGGAAGGTGTCCGGTCAGCCTTTCAAACAGTAAAGGCCAGGGACTATGAAGGCAAGGCCATGCAAGGGAGACTGACTCACAGCCCTGCCACCTCTCCACAGCAAGCAGCCCAGAGAGATCCCCTGGAAGTCTGTCGGGAGCCCCTTTGTGGTGGAGTCCACAGGAGTGTACCTGTCCCAAGAGGAAGCTTCCATAAGTGGGAGAAAAGTGCACAGGGCTGGCCAGGGGTGTGACACTGAAAGCATCTCATCAATTCATGACACCAGTGTTCCTCCTTCCCTAGAACCACATCCAGGCAGGTGCCTTACGTGTGGTCATCAGCGCACCCTCACCAGATGCGCCCATGTTTGTCATGGGGGTGAATGAAAAGGACTATAATCCTGATTCCATGAAAATTGTCAGGTAACGGGCAGCAGCATCCAGAAGTGGGTGGGTGATGCCCAGAGGATATGCCAGCCTGTGATGGGAAGGGATCAGACTTAGCATCCCCTCCCCCATCCCCACCCCAATGGTGCTTCTTTCACATCCCTCTGCTTCTCCCTCCCAAAGTTTTAACAGCCACCACGTTAACATTCCCCTAGAACTGTTAGCAATGCACAACTTCTGGAGAATATGCTTGGGGAGGTTCCCCAGCTGCACCTCCGGTGCCTCCTTCAGTCTGAAGGCATCCCCAATGACCTTTCTCATCCCCATCCTGACTTTTCACAAATCCAAGCCTCTGAGCATCTCCCCCAAATGAGGTAAGGGTGGAAGGGTGGCTCTGACACTCACCTCCCAGTTCCCTTGCTGTGTCAGCAATGCATCCTGCACCACCAGCTGCCCGGCCCCCCTTGCCAAGGTCATTCACAAGCGATGTGGGATTGTGGAAGGACTGATGGTGAGTTGGGGAAAGGGCTGAGCAGGATGGATGGCAGGGAACCTGTACCTCTTCCTCTCAGGATTTGCTTAGTGTGTGACTTTACTAGGAAGAGACTGGTTTCATGAGGAAAGGCCAGCCAGTGGTGGAGTCTTTTAAAATACTGTGTAACTCTCAGGCAAGGCTGGACCCTGGCTGGCAGGTGCCCCTCCAGTGGTCCCCACCTGGCTTATCACTTCAGGCCTAAAATAAAGAGGCATGGGAAGTTAAGAGCAGGAAGGCCTCACCTCAGCCCTCTTCTTCCCCAAGACCACAGTCCATTCCTACACGGCCACCCAGAAGACAGTGGATGGGCCATCCAAGAAGGCCTGGCGAGACGGACGAGGAGCTCACCAGAACATCATCCCAGCCTCTACAGGGGCTGCCAAGGCCGTGGGCAAAGTCATCCCAGACCTCAAAGGGTATGAGGGCAGAAAGCTGCAACCAGGGTGGGAGGCACACCCTGGGAAGAGCAGACGGGCCCCAATCCTTGAAGTATCTAATGAGAGGAAGGTGGAGGTGAGGGGGTAGATGGACAAGTCCTTGGGTTCTGACTTCCACCTCGATGTGGGACTGTCCAGGAAGCTGACAGGAATGGCGTTCCGGGTACCAACCCCAGACGTGTCTGTCGTGGACCTGACCTGCCGCCTAGCCCGGCCGACCACATACTCCGCCATCAAGGATGCCATAAAAGCAGCAGCCAAGGGGCCAATGGCTGGCATACTTGCCTACAATGAGGATGAGGTAGGGACTGAGGAGGAGGGATCCTGGGAGGAACCCTCTGGGGGGAGAGCGTGACTTCCACTTGCCAAGGAGCTGCTCACAATGAATCACGATAGGAACTGCAGGGCTGGGAAAGCCAGATCTCCTGCCTCAGCGTCTTTGCACTTGCTGCTCCTTTGGTCTGGAAAACTTTTCCCCCAAGTGGCCATATATTTGTCCTCACCTCCTCCAATTCTTTACTTCAGCCTCCCTCCTCAGCAAGATGTTCTTGTTGTGGCCCCTTTCTTCACCTGAAATTCCATTTTGGTCACTGTTGGTCCTGCTAGCACGTGCACTCCAAGAAGGCAAGGATTGGGGGCTATCTTTTCACTTACACAGCTCCAGCCATCTTCCCAGCAGCCAAGGGGCCAATGGCTGGCATACTTGCCTACAATGAGGATGAGGTAGGGACTGAGGAGGAGGGATCCTGGGAGGAACCCTCTGGGGGGAGAGCGTGACTTCCACTTGCCAAGGAGCTGCTCACAATGAATCACGATAGGAACTGCAGGGCTGGGAAAGCCAGATCTCCTGCCTCAGCGTCTTTGCACTTGCTGCTCCTTTGGTCTGGAAAACTTTTCCCCCAAGTGGCCATATATTTGTCCTCACCTCCTCCAATTCTTTACTTCAGCCTCCCTCCTCAGCAAGATGTTCTTGTTGTGGCCCCTTTCTTCACCTGAAATTCCATTTTGGTCACTGTTGGTCCTGCTAGCACGTGCACTCCAAGAAGGCAAGGATTGGGGGCTATCTTTTCACTTACACAGCTCCAGCCATCTTCCCAGGGCCTGGCACACAGCAGATGCTCAATACATGCTTCCTTAGAAACTCTGACACCCATGTTGTCTCTACGGACTTTGTCAGTGATACCCACTAGTCCATCTTCGATGCTAAAGCGGGCACCTTGCTCAATGACAACTTAGTGAAGCTCATTTCAGCTGCGCCCCTGTCTCTGCGCTGTGCCCCAGCCTGCCAGTCCCCACCTCCTCCCCCATCAGACGCACAAGGTTCCCCTGCTGATAGTTTGATTTTTTTAAAAACAAAAGTAGTGAGTTTGTTTACAGGCAGTACTAATTAAAATTTTAAATTAAATGTGAACATACCATTAAAAACATCTCAGGTGTTCCCGCTGGTTTTTCTTTACTTATTGCAGAAAGTCATCCTTTATTTGTTCTTTTAACGAGAATCCATAAGTAGTAAATTAGCTCTGAGTCTGTATATCTGAAAATGTCATTATTTTGCCTCACTCTTGAATGATTGTTCAACTGGACATAAAATCTCAGGTTAACACTTGTTTTTCCTCAATGCTTTAAAGCTATTACTTGATTGTCTTCTGTTGACTGTTATTGAGGAGAGGCCTGCTATAGGTTAAAATGTGTTCCTTTACTCTCTGGTAGCTTTCAATATTTATTTTTCTTTATTTTTTTTTAAAAATTCAGGTATATTTTACATACAGTAAAGCTTACTCTTTTATGTGTACAGCTCAAGAATGTAGAATATTTCCATTAATCCACAAAGTTCTTCCATGACCCTTGTTATTCAATTTCTCCCTCATCTCCAGTCTCTGACAATGATCTGATTATTGTCTCTATTGACTTGCCTTTTTCAGAATGATATGTAAATGGAACCATACAGAATTTTGCATTTGATTTTTATCATCAATGTGATCATTTGAAGGTTTAACTATGTTGCTGGATGTATTAGTACTTTGTGTCTTTTTATTGACGAGTTGTATTCCATTGTATAAATGCTCCACAATTTGCTTATCCATTCACTATTCCAGAGTTGATGAATATTTGAATTGTTTCCAGTTTGGACTATAAATCTTCTATAAACATTCTCCTGCAGAAATTTGTGCAGACATATGCTTTTATTTCTTTTAGGTTAATATTCAGTAATGTGATTGCTGGTTCATATGAGAAGCATTTGTTTCACTTTATAAAAAATTGCAAAGGTATTTTCCAAATTGGTTGCCCAATTTTACATTCCTACCAACAATGTAGGAGAGTTCTAGGTGTTCTTTATACTTTAGCCAATTAAAATTATATTTTTAATCTTTATTCTTAATGTGATCTAGTTTCATGAGGACATACCTAGTATGACTTTATTTTCATTTTTTCTACCTAGTGTTTAGACTGTTCTTAACCTGAACACTTATATCTGTCTTGAGATTTGAAATTTCTCAGCTACTATTTTTTCAAAAGCTGTTTCTCTGCCATTTCCTCCATTATATTATGTAAGAATACTTATTAGATACATGTTAAAGCTTCACACTCTATTGCCTGTTCTCTCTTTTTAAAGAAATATTAACTCTTGCTCGGCTGGTGTGGTTCAGTAGTTGAGCATTGACTTATGAACCAGCAGGTCACGGTTCGATTCCTGGTCAGGGCACATGACCTGGTTGCAGGCTCGATCCCCAGTAAGGGGCGTGCAAGAGGCAGCCGATCAATGATTCTCTTTCATCATTCGTGTTTCTATCTCTCTCTCCCTCTCTCTTCTCTAAAATCAATAAAAATATATTTAAAAATTTAGAAATATTAGCTCTTAACTCATCTATCTCTTTCTTTTTAAATAAATCTCTTTGTCCCTAATTTCTATTTTTGGGTGAATTTCTCAATATTATGTTTAAGTGTGCTAATTCTGAAGAAAACTATACCTTCATTTACATAAATGATTGCTAAACATTTATTTCAATATCTTTGTTAAACAAAATCAGAAATGTCTAAGCAGAAAACATGAGTGAATGAGGTAGACATTTAAAAAATATCATAAAAATTAGAAGCCACTAAATGAACAATTAACTTATCATGTAAATATTTATATGGAAAAATCATCTCAAATACAGTAAATGACAATCATTAAGCTGCAAAATAGAAGACAATTTTGTGATATATTTGCTAAACAAAAGGTCAGTGTCTAATATACAAAGAACTCTTTTTAAAATTGGTTTGAGAGAGAGAGAGAAACGTCAATTTGCTGTTCTACTTATTTATGCATTCATTGGTTGATTCTTGTATGTGCCCTGACTGGGTATCAAACCTGAAACTTTGGCATTTCAAGATGATGCTCTAACCAACTAAGCTACTTGTCCAAGGCACAAAGAACTCTTAAATCAACGAAAAAAGGGCAACCAACCAAATAGAAAAGTATAAGTGGGCAAAGACACAGAATAGTCAACAGAAATATGAATGGATACCAAATATATATTTTTTTCTTTCACTTTGAGTACGTTTGATTTTATAACTCAGAAACAAAGTTTTAAAGTAGATTTTATACTAAGTAACTTATAAGAGTCCTTCCTGTTCTAGCAAGGATTCTAAATTTTATAAGTACTATTATAAAATAGTGAGATTGCTATTCATATCAATGCTAAAAGATAACATATCAGTATAAGTATTGAATAATGTATAAGAATTTTAACTACAGAGATCATCACAAGTTTTGATATCTGCCTAAATTCACAGAACTATCTTTTCCATTGGATACATTAAAATATAAAAACAAATATCACAGTGATTATGTATATTCTACTAGTAATTCAGGAGGAAGCCTAATTATCATATATTAACATTTTAAACTGTAAACCAAGATTAGAGCCAGGATAGTTTATACTGTTAGAAAACTACTTAAAATTAAAAATTATTTCTTCCATGTTAACTAGTCAATGAGAATATTACCATAGTGGTTTGGTAGGTATTCAAGAATTAAAATTTGGTGAAATGTTTTTAATTAAGTTCTCTCTACCTCATTTGCAATGTGCTTTGTTTTTTATGCAGTGGCATAATGCAAATGTTTCTCATGGGAACTTTTATATACATAGTCATGAAAATATTCTCAAACCCGATGGGATTTATTATGAACATTAAACTTGCCTTAACATTTTTCAGGTTGGGGTGGCCAAATAGGGAGCTTTTAGTTTTATTATTTCTATTAAGTCAAATGCTATCATTAAAATAATACTTTAAAAGAAAACAAAACCAAGATAAAATAATTACAGTAGTCAAATTTTATATAAGGAATATATTCTTGAAAGTAACTACTGCAGTCCCCCAACAGAGAGAATGCTTTAAAATGATAATGCAAATAATTTATTTTCATGATCCTGTATTGCTTTTTTAGTGTTAGCATTTTGGCTTAAATTCTTGAACGCAATTAATTTGATGTGCTTGTTTTGTAGATGTTCTTTCCCCTGGAGGATGTTTTAGAATATTGCATCAGCTTGTGTTTCCCAGGTTCTCATATCTGAATTTGAAGAGAGGCTCCCAAAGAGATTACTGCTAAGTGAGACCTCATTATTTTATATATGTTTTTGTTTTAATATATGCCCTAGGATTTGAATCTGTTTATCAATATCCCTTTGCTAATCCTAATTATTAGGACAGTTCAATATTTTCCATAGTTATCATTTTCCGTAACTGAAAGAAAAACAATATTTTTTAAAAGGGCACACCTATCAGAATTGTAACTGATTCTATCTTCATTGTAACTATAATTAAAATATGATAATATTGACTTGCGGTTATCCATACAATCATATATACATTGTATTATTTCTTTTTCTTTAGTTATACACTAAAATGATTGAAGTATTTTAGTACATAACTTTTCACAATTTTCTAATTAGACATCAGCACCAAGAAATTACTCTCCTGTAGGTGTTCCACTGAGCCTGTTTGCTCTACAAAGAGATGCCTGTGTTTGTAGTCTTTAAATTGTCAATGATAATAGTAAGACAGCATATTGCAGATGCTCTTCTCTCTCATGCCCCACCTCTACCTGCGATTCCTCTGCTGTCTCCAAGTAGGAACCAGAAGGAGAGAGAAAATATGCTCCTGGCCTACCTCTTGTCTTTCTACTAAAACCCACAAGACCGAAAGGGGTAGACTCTGCCAACTTAACCCTCCTGACTGGTTTGGTTCTCCCTACACACACTGTATAGGATGGCTTTTGAAATATTAAGGGGAGAAATCAAGGAATTTAGCAAACCCTTTTGTCTCCTGCAAAACCTAGCTCTCTCTCAATACTCTCTTCCTAAAGAAGTCAAGACAATCTGCTTTGAGACTTATAGCTCATCAAAGGCCACTTCACTTTACAGTACTTCTCCTACCCTCACATGATGAGTAAGCCTCACTGCTTGATTTTGGAAGTACAGAAATGCAAAGGAATATGCTTTAATTGAGATATTAAAATGCAGATTTAGTATTTGCAAAATATGTTCCCTACTACATGAAAAGAGCACATCACAACCTGATCCGGATCTGCTTTATCATTTGTCCTCATTCCCTACTAGGCTCCATCTGCTACACAAATCCTCTTCTTTTTTTATTTATTCAATGATTGATTTTGAGAGAGAGAAACATTGGTTTGTTGTTTCACTTATTTATGCACTCATTGGTCGATTAAACCCGCAACCTTGGCGTATTGGGACAATGCTCTAACCAACTGAGCCAGGGCCCACGTATCCTGTTCTTTAGGCACAATAAATTTCTTAGCATTTTCTGAACACAGCATACTCCATGAATTAGCACAGCTGTTTATTTTGCCTAGAACATTCTTCTCCAACTCACTCTCTGCCTTGCAAAGTCTCTCTTATCCTTCCAGACTTAGTTCAAATGTCATCTCCCGATGAAAATTCTACGACCAACTTGTCTTTCATAAATGTCATATCAATATGTAAATTTCACCACTGTAGCATGCATAATATTATAATTATTTCTTTACCACTAGTTTGTTCAATACTTCAGTAGCAGAGGCAGAGTTAAATTAGACAGGAGAAGAAATTTAGTCTTATATAGGAAAAGGTTAGTAAATTCCTACAGTGATATAATTCTGCCTTTAATTTGCTACATGAAAATGTGAAAACAACCGAGTAAGAAAGACCATTGCTTTATAAATCTAAAATTTTTTTCTCATATCACCACTTTCCTATTCCTTTATGCAAAGGATAAAGAATTCATATTATGGAAAAAAATTGATAATTTTTTAAAAATCCACATTTTATTCAAACTTCAAAAAGAATTATAAACTAATATTTTTAAAATCCCACACATTACATTCTACATTAACAAGCAATCAGAATGTTTTTGATAAAGTAAAATATTCTAATCAGGTTTCAATGAATAAATATGCTGAATTAGAGAAAGAAAAGACCAAGATGATAACTTGATTGATGTTTTTTGTACAATGTGAATTGTACAATTTAAACATCAATTAGCAAGAAAATAAAAGGTTTTTGTTTTATGAAAAGAAAATCAGATAACAAGCTTGCAGAATTATATCCTATCTCCTTTCCTTCATTTCCTCCTTCATAAGGAAATAAAAGCAGGGCTTGTCTTAGGAAAAGGTCTGTGCATAAAAGTCATCACTCAAGGGAAGGCTATGTTCTCCAGAGAGTGAAGCAGGAGCTTAGAGACCTTGCCTTTTATTTAATGCCCTGCGCTGTTTTGTTCAACCAAAACATTTTTGCTTTAACCATTCTCAATGTAGCCTTGTGGTTATTATTTTCCTATTTGAACTTCAGAGACTGAACATAATGTTTCCTTACGTTTGTAAAGCTCAGCAACTGTAAAAAATGTAACATTTTCTTTCAGAGATGTGAGAGCACGTCTGTGACATTTTGAGGTTTTCACTTAGGTATATGTAATGGGTTAAATAGTGTTCCCCCAAATTCATGTCCACCTAGTATCTCAGAATATAATCTTCTTTAGAAACGAGGTCATTGCAGACGTTAGGTAACGATCTTGAGGTAAGGTTGCATTGGGTTAGGGTGGCTCTCAGTCCAATACGGGGAGTCCTCATAAGAAGAGGTGAGGACACACAGAGGTGCACCTAGAAGGCTGGAGATGGAGACCGAGATTGGAGCGATGCAGCTACAAGCCACGTGACATCGAGGATTGCTGGGAGTCACCAGAAGCTGGAAGGGGCAAGCAAGGGTTCTTCCTTAGAGCATTGAGAGGGAGCATGACACTACTGGAACCTTGACTTTGGATGAGAGAAAAAAATTCTGTTGTTTTAAGCCACCAAGTTTGTGGTATTTTTTTTTTACAGTAGCTCTGGGAAACTAATGTGGTATAGTAGATGATTCTTAGTCCTTACTTTATCTTAGAAGCAGAGAGACCAGGAGAAAAGAGTCCTCCCTTCTCTGAACTTTCCTATCACTGTTCACAACAATATAATCCTCCTATTTCTCCTCCTACTGGTAGCCAATCTATGAAGGACTGCCCCCTGGGGAATTAAGGAGTCCTTGCAAAGCATCCCTGAAGCCCTTTTGAACTAGATAGTATCTGAGAACTGAATAAATTGGTTTTCTCAAGTTTTACTGAACAGTTTTCAAAGATATGTAGGAACTATAATCACCATCACTATGGACACTAGGGTAGCTGGTACACTGCACAACTCCTAGGGTAGCATTCAGATCAGTGTCAACATGCAGAAGACCCACACAGTACACAATGTGAGCAGGCATAAGGTGGCTGTGATTCATGACATACAATTTTATCTAAAAGCAATATTGAATTATTATGTACTTCTCTCCATCACTGGATATTTAAGTTATAACTACTATCCTGTAAACTGCTATGACTTTCTTAAAAAGATGTCCTTAAATTAAAAAAGATCATTTTTAAATTTCACTGTATTGCCTGAGAGTCTCTTCTATCTTTCCCTCTCACTTGTTATCCAAACCAATCAATTTCCAAACTATGCCCATTTATTCTTTATAATATATTTAAAATTTTTTAAAATATGTTTTCATTGATTTCAGAGTGGAAAGGAGAGAGAAAGTGAGAGAGAGAGAGAAACATCAATGATGAGAAAGAATCATCAATTGGCTGCCTCAGGCATGCCCCCTACTAGGGATTGAGCCTGCAAACTGGGCATGTACCCTGACAGGGAATCAAACCGTGACTTTCTGGTTCATCGGTCGACACTCAACCACTGAGCCAAACTGGCTGGACCTTCATAGTATTTATTAAATGCTCTCTGCCTCTGCCTAACAACCACTTTACTTCAGTGGGTCAGAACTTCTGGCTAGGCTATAACCAGATTCCTTTATCATCTTCTTTTCATCTCTTTGATTCCTGTTAATATGTGACAGAGTTGCAGATTAATTTTTGTAAAGATAATTTTTTATTATGTCAACCCACTGATCAGGAAATTTCACTGACTTTCTTTTACTTGTAAAATTTAACCCAAGTTTGTCAGCCCTTCATTCAAACCTTGGTTTACTTATTCTATCTGATCTCTTTTCTCACCACTTCATATCACTGTTCTTTTAAGGTTGATGAAATGACTTTACAATAATATAAATAGCTGCAGTGAAAATTTGATTTCTCTCTATTGCTTCCCTCTTCATCTTTTGACTTATTGACACTTCAAAGAAATTTCTGGAAGAAGAACATACATGAGGCATATAGAGGAAAAAGATCTGGCCCAAAATTATGTTTTCAGCTTTAGAAACCCTGTTTTATAAAGGTACTTGAAAAGAAAAAAATTAAATGCAATGTAATAATTGTAAGTATTCTTTGTCAGAGCTGATAACTATTGATTATTTGTTGTTGTTGTTTTTTGTTTTTTTTTAGAGAGAGAGAGTAAGGGAGACAGATAGAGAGACAGAAATATCAATGAGAGAGAAACATTGATTGGCTGCCTACTGCACATTCCCCACTGGGGATGGAGCCTGAAACCAGGCATGTGCCCTAACTGGGAATCAAACAGGTGACCTCTTGGTTCATGGGTTGATGCTCAACCACTGAGCCACACCAGCTGTCATGATAACTATTAAATAAACAATAGGCAATTAAAATTAGGTTTAAAGAAACTTACAATCCATAGTCCATATGCATGTATCTTAAATTTAAAAACCTATTTTACAACGTTAAAAACATTTTAATTTCCCATGTAATCATATTTCTGAAAGACATACAGCATTATTGTCACTTCCCAATAATTACTATGTGAGCAACTAAAATTTTAGTCTTTCCTTTCACATCTCAGATAAAATAGATCTTCACTTATAAAGTGGTAGCTGTCCTTCTGAGACTGGTTGAATATTAATTAAAGACCTATTGTCAATATTTCATATTTCTATATTAATAGTGAGGTTTACTATATATGAAATAGTCATAGTATAGTATATCATTCATTACTTAATATATGAAACTTCAAACTTACAAAACTGATAAAATAAGAAACTTGCACATTACTTCAAGTTAAGAAATTTTGCAAAGAAATACACAGGCAGTTAGT